CTAACCCTTAAAACCTAACGCTAACCCTTAACCTAACGCTAAACCTAACGCTAATGCTCTAAACCTGACCCTAACCCTTAACCTAACCCTAACCCTAACCCTTAACCTAACCCTTAACCTAACCCTTACCTTTATGTGAATCGGCTTGCTTTAATTTTAATTCAATTTTTAATTTTTTTCGTCACGCTGTGATGACGTCACATGCGCGCTTTTGTCGAGCGCGATTTTGTCCTCCGCGCTTTTGACGGGTCACGTTCAATCCTAGGTAGAGAAATATATTTCTCTCTTTGGGTACAATGAGAATATCTCTCATTGAGGACCTCCATTGAGAGGCATTGATGGTGTTGTTTGATTAAAGGGAGGACGTGGGCTCCTTCAATTATTTGTCGAAGTAGAAGCCAATTAGTAAAGAAAAATTTAAAGATTAATGTGAAAAAAAATATATTCCCAATCCTCCCTCCCTCCCTCCTTCCTTTATCCTGTTTTTCAACCCTGGTGAATTCGGAAGGAACCTAACAAAATTAAATCATCACAAAATGAAAAATCGCAAGCAGATGGAAAATTTATTTAATGAAGCAGCAGAGACGGTGAGCGGATTAAACTTACTTTCCCGAGTAAAGAACGTGAATGTCATCAGGCCTTGTTGCATTTGGTCCAACAGAATTCTCAGCCAAGCAAAACACAGCATGAAGATTGTCTTTAAAGCCCTGTTATAGGAAGAGAAAGGAGACATCAAATGATGGATGAGTGAGTTCAACCAGCAACTCTCTAGGAGACACAGATCCCTCTCTTAGGTTTCTATGGTCTTCATTTTTGCTCCTTTTAAAATTTGTTGCTTATCCACTTCACAACAACTTTTGGGAACGGAAGGCATACAAATAAAGAAATGTAAAATGTCCATGTACCACAACTAAACTATAGATATAAGCCTGTGCATTTTACAGTATCTTGAGCCCAAGTCATGCAGAAATGCTAGATAACACCTTATACAAACAGTCACACACATGCATGCACACATACACTGCCCTCCAACTTACACATTCAAATCCTTTACCAACTACACAATCTGTTTCTATTGCTCCCCTCTGGGAGGAAGTTTCGAAGTATTTCTAACAGGACTACCAGATTCTGTAACAGCTTTGTTCACTATATACCCGTGATGGCGAACCTATGGCACGCATGCCCGAAGTGGCACAGGAAGCCATGTTGCCTGGCATACGTGGCCTTGCCTGCTTGTCTTCCGGGTTTCTGGCACGCATGTGCGTGCAACAATCAGCTATCCTTTGCATGTGCGGCAGTGCCAAAAATTGATGTGTGCATGCACGCCGGCCAGCTGATTGCTGAGTGTGCATACGCACCAGAACCCAGAAGTTTGGCTTTTCTGGAGCGCGATCCTTTTGTGAGCGCGGCGGTGCCAAAAACCAGCCTGTGCATTTCACCGGCCAGCTGATCGTCGTGCATGCATGCACGCTAGAACCTGAAAGTTCATTTTTTTCGGAGTGCGGCCCTGATAAATGCGCCTGCACACGTGCGCGTGACGTTTCCACGTGACTTTATTGGCACTCGGTGGCAAAAAGGTTCGCTATCACGACTATATACCATCCGCCTGCTAAACTCACAAGATTTGTTTTTTCTCGCCATGTATACGTATACATCCGAACTGGACTGTGTGGTTTCTGTGGGTCATGTGTGTGAGTATGTGGGTATATGAACAATTTTTTGTCATGTTAATGTAGCATATGTTGTAGGTGGTTACCCTTTGAGAGCTGTATGCAATTAAATCTCATTTTAATGTATGCTGGTTGGTGTACCGTTAAAGTGACAATAACGTTATTCTATTCTATTCTATTCTTACAACATTCATGTTAAGATTAAAAATTATAGGCAAAAATAACCTACTACCAAAACAATAGTAGAAATTAATAGAAGCAAAACTTAAATATAGCAGAGTTTAGATAAGAAAAGTTAAAACTGAATTGTTATAAAAAAAGTCACAGTTTAAAAAAAGCTGAATCTACGAATTTGGTTAATTTGAAACACATTCCTTTATCTTCCCCCTTTTTAAAAAAACCTGAAAGCATCTCTCTTATGTTTTCACTTGGGTTGATTTGGAGCGATCTAAATAATTAGTCTTCACTTGAGGAGGTTCACTTGGGGCTGATAACAAAGCTTTTGATACAACTTCTTTTTCTAAGAGAGATGCTGTTTAAAGCAATTGCACAGGGAAATGCTAATTTGACATTTAAGTTGTCTTCTGACCAATTTTCTTGGGCGGCCTACTGTTCATTAAATTACTGCAGAGAATGTGTTTACAGATCTGGATCCCCAGATAGTTGGGGTAAGGGACAAAGAGCATCAGAGTTGCCAGCAAGCTTAACAGCTATAGGATTTAGAGTGGGAGTGAAATTTCTTCCGTATTTCTTTTTGGAAGAAAAAGTCTTCAATAAGACTTTGAGTATTCCAACGTTTGTGTTTTCACTGTGTATTCGATCTATCTTCCATATCTAAGTAATAAGTAAAAACCACGTAACATTCCATTTTATGCAATGACCAGCAACAAATAGGAAAACTGGAAAATTCTGAATCATTTGATGCAAAAATATTGATTCTATTCCTATCTTGGTAATAAGGAAAAAGAAATGAAGGCAACTGGCAATAAAATGCTTTGCAGCTTTAAAATGGTCAAACTTGGCCAAGTGTAAAATATTTGGGCCTACATCTTTGTGACTTGTTTGGTTTTAGATGCATGGGATTTAAATTCTGAGGTCAACATTTGTACAGAAATCCCAGGAAGGTCAAAGCTAGCAAAGAGAATAACCCCACTTTCATACATTCCTAAGCTGCGGCAGAATGAAGGAGATAGAAGATGATGCTCTATGGGAGGGGTGTCAAACTCAAAGCCCGAGAGCAACATCTGGCCCACAGGGTGCTTAGATCTGGCCTACAGGGCCGCCCTGGAAACAGCAAAAGACTGGCCCGCGTTGCCTCTGCCAACAAAAACGGGATCCCGAGCTCCGTTTTTGGCTGGGGGGGGGCTCCTGTAACCCTCTGACAGCGAAAACAGAGCTTGGAAGGCCCGCACTNCGGCCAGCTGATTGCTGAGTGTGCATACGCACCAGAACCCAGAAGTTTGGCTTTTCTGGAGCGCGATCCTTTTGTGAGCGCGGCGGTGCCAAAAACCAGCCTGTGCATTTCACCGGCCAGCTGATCGTCGTGCATGCATGCACGCTAGAACCTGAAAGTTCATTTTTTTCGGAGTGCGGCCCTGATAAATGCGCCTGCACACGTGCGCGTGACGTTTCCACGTGACTTTATTGGCACTCGGTGGCAAAAAGGTTCGCTATCACGACTATATACCATCCGCCTGCTAAACTCACAAGATTTGTTTTTTCTCGCCATGTATACGTATACATCCGAACTGGACTGTGTGGTTTCTGTGGGTCATGTGTGTGAGTATGTGGGTATATGAACAATTTTTTGTCATGTTAATGTAGCATATGTTGTAGGTGGTTACCCTTTGAGAGCTGTATGCAATTAAATCTCATTTTAATGTATGCTGGTTGGTGTACCGTTAAAGTGACAATAACGTTATTCTATTCTATTCTATTCTTACAACATTCATGTTAAGATTAAAAATTATAGGCAAAAATAACCTACTACCAAAACAATAGTAGAAATTAATAGAAGCAAAACTTAAATATAGCAGAGTTTAGATAAGAAAAGTTAAAACTGAATTGTTATAAAAAAAGTCACAGTTTAAAAAAAGCTGAATCTACGAATTTGGTTAATTTGAAACACATTCCTTTATCTTCCCCCTTTTTAAAAAAACCTGAAAGCATCTCTCTTATGTTTTCACTTGGGTTGATTTGGAGCGATCTAAATAATTAGTCTTCACTTGAGGAGGTTCACTTGGGGCTGATAACAAAGCTTTTGATACAACTTCTTTTTCTAAGAGAGATGCTGTTTAAAGCAATTGCACAGGGAAATGCTAATTTGACATTTAAGTTGTCTTCTGACCAATTTTCTTGGGCGGCCTACTGTTCATTAAATTACTGCAGAGAATGTGTTTACAGATCTGGATCCCCAGATAGTTGGGGTAAGGGACAAAGAGCATCAGAGTTGCCAGCAAGCTTAACAGCTATAGGATTTAGAGTGGGAGTGAAATTTCTTCCGTATTTCTTTTTGGAAGAAAAAGTCTTCAATAAGACTTTGAGTATTCCAACGTTTGTGTTTTCACTGTGTATTCGATCTATCTTCCATATCTAAGTAATAAGTAAAAACCACGTAACATTCCATTTTATGCAATGACCAGCAACAAATAGGAAAACTGGAAAATTCTGAATCATTTGATGCAAAAATATTGATTCTATTCCTATCTTGGTAATAAGGAAAAAGAAATGAAGGCAACTGGCAATAAAATGCTTTGCAGCTTTAAAATGGTCAAACTTGGCCAAGTGTAAAATATTTGGGCCTACATCTTTGTGACTTGTTTGGTTTTAGATGCATGGGATTTAAATTCTGAGGTCAACATTTGTACAGAAATCCCAGGAAGGTCAAAGCTAGCAAAGAGAATAACCCCACTTTCATACATTCCTAAGCTGCGGCAGAATGAAGGAGATAGAAGATGATGCTCTATGGGAGGGGTGTCAAACTCAAAGCCCGAGAGCAACATCTGGCCCACAGGGTGCTTAGATCTGGCCTACAGGGCCGCCCTGGAAACAGCAAAAGACTGGCCCGCGTTGCCTCTGCCAACAAAAACGGGATCCCGAGCTCCGTTTTTGGCTGGGGGGGGGCTCCTGTAACCCTCTGACAGCGAAAACAGAGCTTGGAAGGCCCGCACTCTCTTTCACTGGCAGAGGGTTGCAGGAGGCTGTCGTAGCCAAAAATGGAGCTTGGGACCCCATTATCACCGGCAGAGCGCTCGGGCCACCACAGGCACCCCTGACAGGAGTATTTGTATTGTATTTGTATTTATTAATGCTTATAGGCCGCCCTTTTCCCTGAGGGGACTCAGGGCGGCTTACATAAAATGAGG